TGTATTAATCTGTGGGGAAGGAGGAGTTTAATGGAAACACAAAGCTTAATATATGGAGATATGCCTATCTCGTAGAGCTGGAAGGGACCCTGAAAAGTCATCAAGTCCAGCCCCCTGCCTTCATTAGCAGGACCAAGTACTGATTTTGCCCCAGATCCCTAAGTGGCCTCCTCAAGGATTGAACTCACAACCCTGGGTTTAACAGGCTAATGCTCAAACCACTGAGCCATCCCTCCCCCCGATTGTAGTCAGTTCCTCTTTTCTGAGAGTTTATGCTACTCTTTTTCCTGAAGCATGGTAAGTGGTGGTTGTCATATAGAGATAATTGGAGATCAGGTTTGGAGACTTTTAGAGGATCCCTTCCCAACTAGCTACTGCCCGTCAATGAGCACACTCTCTTGACCTTTTGAAGAAAGTGGTTCAGACAATGTTCTCTCTACCTTTTTGAAGTCAAAAGGGCATAGAGTTACTGTGGCATTACTACAGTGGACAGAACTGAACTCCGTATCCAGCAACTGAGCTGTGTACATTGCCTTTATGGCAGACTGTATTGCTTACATCGTATCATGATGATTTTAAAGACATTTCACCTCTTAAGCTTGTCCTATTGATCCAAACAAGTAGTGTGGAATGTGAGAGGTGGCTTTCACTAATAGTATGCATCAAATGTAGCAGGAGAACAAACCTTTGACCTGATGTTTCTGCTTTAATGGATATTAATTTCAGTGATGGAACTCTCCAAATAATGAAGTATCCTGACAGTGGTTAGAGACTAAAAGAAAGAGGAAAAAATAGTGTAGAAAAGGCCCTAGAGAACAGAGTACTTGGGGCGAGGTGAGGAGTGAGAGGCCAGAGCTTTGCGTCATACAAAAAAGAATTATCCATTTATATGGATGAGAGGAATATCCAGAATTAAATATTAAAAAATAAATATAATAGACACCAAGATTTTGGAAAGAGTCTAAGCAGTTAAGTTTCAGGGGCACAAACCAACCTCTTTACCTATTGGAGGTTAGGAAGAAGCTATTTTGGGGGGCCGGTTGTGGGTAGTGTCACATACAGGATAGTGGACTTAATGGATCCCTCATCTGATTCTGTATGTTCCTAGAGAAGAACTTGCATATTAGTGTCCTTAAACTAAGGACCTATTTGCACTTGGTCTCAAACTTAGTTTTTGAACTAGTTTAAACATGGCTTTTTAAGCAGTTCAGTTTAATTCAGCTTTAACACAATTGACCAAGTCTGTGCAAAGTTTAACCATATTTAACAACTGAATTTAAGTGTGGCTTAAACACAGTTAAATTGGGTTATATCACTGTTTGGCTGCTAGTCTGTTTCTGCCCTGAGAGTATCAGAAAATTGTCCCACTGTTGCTCTAGGACTGGTGGAAGTGCTAGTGCAATCAGTCACAGCTGTTTTTACCATTTTTGTCTACTGTTTGCCTAGATGAGATGGTGGTAAAAAATGTTCTTGTCAGGTCAACACTAGTGATTGCTGGATGTCTTCAGCGTTGGCCAAACTGGGTTAAAAATTTCTAGCATAAATTTCTAACTGGATTAAAGCATAGTTTTAAACCTGTTTTTAAACATAGTTTAGTTATCTATTCAGAGCCCAATGAATGGTGTTATAACCCAGTTTGAACACAGCTAGGTTTAAACCCTGCCTAGAAATATGGTTCTATATTGAGGATAACTCTTCAGACAGGGCCGTTGGCCATTCAATATGGACCAGGACAAACCTTGTCTAAACAAAATGTGGGTAGGCCAGAATATATGTTAAACCTCAGTTTAAACAGTTTGACATTGTCCACTCAAACATTTTATACCAAGTTAACCTGATGCAATTTAATTAAAATTATGTGTTTAAAGCATTTCAGCTGTCACAGTTCCTTTCTCTGTAGTTGGTTTAATGTGTTAGTCTCTGTAGTCTAACTATGAAGGGCTCATCCGTTCATGAAAAGATGTTTATGCCTTTTCATAATTTTTTTATTCAGGTCTGGGTATGTTGCCAAAAGTGGCAGTTTCCACATAAAATAGTCATATGAATATAAGAACGGCCATACTGGGTCAGACCAGTGGTCCATCTAGCTCAGCATTCAGTCTTCCAACAGTGGCTGTCACCAGATGCCTCAGAGGGAATGAACAGAACAGTCTAATTTATTGAATGATCCATCTCCTTGTCATCCAGTCCCAGCTTCTGGCAGTCAGAGATTTAGGCTTGGTCCACACTGACCCCCCACTTCGAACTAAGATACGCAACTTCAGCTACGTGAATAACGTAGCTGAAGTCGAAGTACCTTAGTTCGAACTTACCGCGGGTCCAGACGTGGCAGGCAGGCTCCCCCGTCGACTCCGCGTACTCCTCTCGCGGAGCAGGAGTACCAGCGTCGATGGCGAGCACTTCCGGGATTGATCCGGGATCGATTTATCGCGTCTAGACAAGACGCGATAAATCGATCCCGGAAGATCGATTGCTTACCGCCGGACCCGGAGGTAAGTATAGACCTACCCTTAGGGACACCCAGAGCATGGGGTTGTGTCCCTGACCATCTTGGCTAATAGCCATCGATGGACCTATCCTCCGTGAGGTTTTCTGTTTTTTTGTTTTGTTTTGTTTTTTTAACCCAGCTGCATTTTTGGGCTTCTCAACATCACCTGGTAATGAGTTCCACAGGCTGTGCTGTGTGAAGAAGTACTTCCTTATGTTTGCTTTAAACCTGCTGCCTATTAATTTCATTGGGTGACCCCTGGTTCTTGTGTTATGTGAAGGGATAAATAATACTTCCTTATGCACTTTCTCCACACCTTTGATCAGACATGTTAATTAAATCATACCAAATGTTACAGCCATATAATGCAACCAGGAAGACCATTGCATAGTATAAGAAATTAGTTGTTGTCTAGTTCAGAATGCTTGGGAAGAATCTATTATCTCAGCAGTATAACGTTGCTGAAATGTATTTAAATATTTTTTTATGCAGTACAAATATAAGTAATAAAATAGAATATTTAGTCTGTTTATTTCTGCACAGTTCAACTAAGCTTTTCACTGTGGAATGATACTGGCATTTGTGTGGCAGTGTTTCGCAGAATGTGTTTTGAAGTACTCGTTTTCTGTTGAAAAGTTCATGCTTCAAAATCAGATATACCAATACAATGAGCATCAAACAGTTGGAGTGAATATTGCTACAACTGAAGTAATTATTTTATAAACACATACTTTATAGCTGCCAAAATATGATGTGCAATATAAAGTGTAAGATTCAATTTATAGTCTCTTGCTTAAGTGGCTATACTGAAGTATTGAAATTTTGAGGGGCATGGGAAGAAGCTTAATTCAGTCTTGAGAATCCTTTGGTGAGGTGGGTAGCAAATGCTCGTGCAATTTACTTTCAATTAAGATTCCCATCTAGATGGTTTTTAACATTCTTATCGCCATGCTTACAGTGTCAAGGCTAAAAGTGTGGAAAAAATTGTCTACAAATCTGGCTTGTAAAGCACATGCAAGATTCTGTCCACCCTAAAGTATGATAGTTTCATAATGAAATCTGGAAACATACAGAAGAATTTTGTTGTGCTGCTAACTGCATAATCTTACTCTGAGCAAAGAATTAAGTCAGCAACCCAGGCTATAGAACACCCTTGTCTCCTTTCCACGCCTGTCAGATGAGGATAATAATAACTTCCTCACAAGAAGGTTTTGAGGTTTAGTTAATGTTTGTAAAGTATGTTGAAGTTTAGCTATAGTAAGTACTTAATATTGCTAGGGTTACTTTCTGGCCAGAATTGTAGAAGGCATCCTTGGTTTGGTATTTTGACTTCAGCTACAATACTTCAGGCTAGTATTGTGTTGATGAGTCTTAATGGGCAAACCATGTTTACTCAAGATGTATCTGTGTCCTATGTACACTCTTATTCTGGCTCAAATGCTACTTGTTATAATACTACTAGGTAAAAGAATTCTGACACAAAAGTAGACACTTTTCTCTCTGTATTTAAATATGAAGGTGATAAATGTTTTATGAATACCCACGATAAATACTTACTGTAATCCTAAAATCACTTGGTCACTCTTCTTTCCCCGATGGTGTCTTGAAGGCTTGAAAATATTCTTTTCCTACTGACTGTACCTATTTCTATTTTGAAAATATATTTTTTATTTTAATATAATGGAATAGAAGCAGACATGGCTTTGTTTCCTGGTGTGCAAGATTGGATGTTGGCTAATTGCTTGAGTCAGCAAGAATTTTCCTGTATATGTCACAACAATGGTGGCTGTATTATTTTTTCTTTCTAATTTTCTAATTAGTGGATGATATGGGAAGGAACAAGATTAAATCCAGAGAACATTGCTCTGTATTTTGAGCAGTTTTAAGGTAGGGTACATATTATGCCTGAACTACTGAAGTGTCTAAACAGATACTGTGTTAGAAAGTTGTAGACCTGAGCTGCAAAATCTGTTATCTGATGTCCGCAGTTGCTGTCTAATTTTAGTTAGTGGTATATATTTAAAAGTGGTGGTGTTTGTGCACTGTGGGAGTTGGGGAGATCTAATTATTAGCTAAAATACATAATTTAAAATACTACTGGTAATTGCACCACCTAGACTTTTACTCTGTCACTGTTAGAACATAGCTCTATTACTAAAATAATGAATGAACCCTTGTATAGTATGTCATATCCTCAAACACCACAAACTTTTAACTATTCAAAATGTCTTTGAGAAGTAAATTAATATTAATCCCATTTTTATCAACTGAGGAACTGAGGCAGACTGAAGTCAGAGAGGGAGTCTAATGCACATCTGGGATTAGAAATTCATGACTCAACTCCTGTGTTTATTCCACGCCCCTTTCAATCTGTGAATCTAGAAAACAGTTCAGGTCATCTATACACAAACTTCATTTGGTCGAGGGAGAAGGAAGTTAGCTTCACTTTTACTTTGGATGAATTAGGATGTATTTAATAAATATGATCATCGTTGTCTGTTTTTCTTAATAGAAAATGCCTGAAGCATCAGAAGATCATATCCACTGGAAGACTTATTGACTTCCATTCTTGAGAATCCCAGAACAACATCAGTCTGGCATGGCGCAGGGCAGTCAGCAACTTGATGTGCAGGTACTCCATGACCTCCGGCAACGTTTCCCTGAGATTCCAGAAGGGGTGGTGTCTCAGTGCATGCTCCAGGTACGCTGCAGCAGAATACAATAGCATAGTAACAGTTACCATACATTTATCCTTGTAGCATAAAAAGAACCCCCTTGTAATAGAAGAGTTAGAAATCAATTCAATTTCACAGTTGTCTTCTGGGTTTTTTTAAGTTTCTAAAGGATAACAGGTGTGACGGTGCCCCCCATAAGGCTTTATGGAATATGCTTATGAATGTATATATGACATAACTAGAATATGTTTTAGGCTACATAGGCCATGTAACACATCTCTGTAAAGTTATGATCTACTGAATCTATTAATTCTATTTGTATGCATGTATCATTTTTGTACTTGCAGTTAGGAATATTGGCTGCATACTTGCTTGATTTTAACTAGCCTAGTAGAGCATTTGGTCAGCTTCTTGAGAAAAGTGCAAATAAAGTGCCCAATCAAAAACTACTTAGGCCAACAATGAATTTGAAGATGCCAATCCACATCTGAGCTTTCACAGGAATGTCGCTTGGCTGGTAAAAACTGAGTCATGCATGGACATGTGGCTTGCCCATGTGACTCCAAAACTCCATCTTGGAGGTGGACTTTGCATAAGAGAGAGGAGGGGGTCTTCACCCACACGAGAGTCTATTTAAACCCCTAGGAAAACCCTCCATTTTGTCTTCAGCTGGCTAAAGGGAGAGCCTCTCCACCCCAAGGATACCTGAAAGAAACTGGAACAAAGGACAGTAACTACAGGGGGTGTGAGTGATTGCTCGACTCAGACTAACAGGAGACTAGTCTGTAAAAGGAAGCTTACTGGAACTGGTGAGGTTTTATTTGTATTCAGTTTCTTAGACATGGACTTGTGTGTTCTGTTTTATTTTTAGTTGGTAATTCACTTTGTTCTGTCTGTTACTACTTGGAACCACTTAAATCCTACTTTCTGTATTTAATAAAATCACTTTTTACTTATTAACTAACCCAGAGTATGTATTAATACCTGGGGGGGGGACAAACAGCTGTGCATATCTCTCTATCGGTGTTATAGAGGGCGAACAATTTATGAGTTTACCCTGTATAAGCTTTATAAATGGTAAAACGGATTTATTTGGGGTTTAGACCCCATTGAGAGTTGAGCATCTGAGTGTTAAAGACAGGAATACTTCTCTCAAGTTGCTTTCAATTAAGTCTGCAGCTTTGGGGCACATGGTTCAGACTCTGGGTCTGTGTTGGAGCAGACTGGCGTGTCTGGCTCAGCAAGACAGGTTGCTGGATTCCCAGGCTGGCAGGGAAAACAGGGGCAGAAGTAGTCTTGGCACATCAGTTGGCAGTTTTCAAGGGGTTTCTGTGATCTAACTCGTCACAACAGGCACTTGGAGAACAGCAAACTTTCTCAGTTTACTTTCTATATATATATATTTTTGTACAAGAAAGTAGGTATTCCCTGTGGCTGAGCAAGTTTCTGTCATCTCAGGATGTGAGAGTGGAAAACTCCTTTTTTCTCTTCTGCCATTCAGTGTAGACAGTGTTGCCCTCATACCTGAATTTAAACTGGGGGTTACTGGATTTTTCACAAGACCAAACTTTTTATGAGCAGTAAGGCCCTTGCCATGTTTCTTAAAGAAACAATCGTTCGTCTTCAAGTAGTGTCCCTAGGGGTGCTTCACTGTAGGTGTGCTTGTATCCCTGTGCTGCTGATTGGAAAACTTTGGTATCAGTGACAGAGTCCTGTGGCACCTTATAGACTAACAGACGTATTGGAGCATAAGCTTTCGTGGGTGAATACCCACTTCGTCAGACGCATGGCCACAGGACTCTTTGTCGCTTTTTACAGATCCAGACTAATGTCTGATATTTGGTATCAGTGTCAGTTAGGCCTGCACATGCGCTGTCTCCCTTTGTGCCCCACCATAAGGCTAACCAGTATGTGCGGGCTAACCCCCCCTCAGTTCCTTCTCAGCTGCCTCTGGCTAGAGTCGGAGCCATCAGCAGTCCGTTTGAGATCGTTAACGTCTTCCTTTTCTTTAACATTTTTAGTAGCTAGTTAGTCTTTTTCAGTCTTAATTGTAGTTTTCCCTTATTTTCTCTTAAAGAAAAACTTTTAATTTTCCCCCCTTTTTCATTGGGGATCTCTTCCCCCAACAGGGTACGCCCAGCTCACCAGGCTTCAAGAAGTGCCTCCTCTTGCAAGGAGGCCATCCCTGTGGCAGATAAATATTCTTGATGCGTACGCTGCCTCAGGAAAGGCCACATTCTGCAGAATTGTGGTCTCTGTCAACAATTTAACCCCAGGTCTCGAAAGGACAGGGAATTGAAACAGAAGATAATTCTGATGGAGGCAGCCCTCTAGTCATCTTTGGATCCATGCCAGGAGTCACCCAGAAGGCATGAGTCTTCTCTGCAGCCCTCGACATCCAGGGACTAAGGGTTGAAGAAATCAGCCATGGACCCCTCTCGTAAGACATCTAAAGAGATTGCTGTGAGTCCCCAGAGTGAGCCCTGAGCTAGCCATAAAAGATCTCTGTCATGCTTGGTATCATCAGTACTGTTGGCACCGAGGCAATCCAAGCATGGTACCCATAGCTCACGATGGTCTAGAGCGACAAGTATCGTTGATGCGCCTAAAGACCTGATGGGCATAGGCACCGTCAACCATGAGCCATCCAGCACTGGTGAGATCCCCGACTGCAGGAGTTCCAGCACTCAAGAGAGCTCAGTGTATCTGATATACCAGAGTCTCCCCTTCTTGGCACTGGAGCTTCGGTATCAAGTCTTCTCTGGTACCTTGCCAGGCACCCTTACTTTCTAGTCACCACTCCTTCCATACTCTCTATGAAGCCTGTTATCAAGGGACTCCTCAGGCATACCATCAGCCTGCTCCACCACACCATGGTACAGCCAATCATGGGCACCACTGGGCTCTATCCCACTGCTCCAATAGCCCTACTGGGATCCATGGGCATCATATCAATCATACGCTTCTTGGGCTTCCAGCTACATCTGTGAGCCCCTGAGATGTTCTCCTTCAGCCACTGAACCTCTAGAGGAGATTGCGGAGGAAGAAGAGGGCAGATTCAAAGAGGAGGTTGCATTGAGAACCAACATCACTTCCTCCTCTCCAGATGAGGCAATCATGCCCCTGCCACTATGCTTAGCCAATGATTTCCAGCTTTTCCAGGACTTGGCAAAAGTGTAGCAGACACACTGCAGATACACCTGGGAGCGGTAAAAGATACTCAGCACAAACTTCTTGACATCCTACTCTTCCTCGTCCTCCAGAATAGTCCTCCCCATCAATGAGGCTCTCCTGGACCCCACAAAAACTATATGGCAAACTGCAGCATCAGTAATGCCTACGTGTAAATGGGCTGATAAAAATCATTATGTCCCAGCTAGGGAGACGGAATCCCTTTTTTCCTGCCCTCCCTCCAACTCCATCGTTGTGAATGCAGTAAACTCCCGGGGTTGCCAGCACCAAATGAGATCTATCCCCTATGATAGGGATTGGAAAAGCCTTTACCTCTTCAGGAGAAAGGCCTACTCCTCTGCCACATTGCAATTTCAAATGCAAATTATCAAGCATTAATGGCAAAATATATCTGTTAATTATTCGAAGCTCAGCACCTTTATTGATCAGATCCTAGAGCAGAGTGTGACCAGTTCTGAACTATCATCCAGGAAGGGCAACTATTAGCCAAAACAACGCTCTGGTCAGCCCTCGATATAGCTGATACAGTGGCCCAGTCCATCTTCACTGTAGTGGTTGTGTGACATGCATTGTGGTTACGCCTCTCTGGATTCCCTAAAGAGGTGCAGATGGCCATTGAAGACCTTCCCTTTGAAGGCACCAAGTTGTTTGCTGAAAAGTTTGACACGTTGCTACACACCATTAAAGATTCCAACGCTACTCTCCGGTCATTTAGGGATGTATATGCATGGACAAAAGAGAAAATTTAGTCTGCAGCCTCAACATAAATTCCATACCTCCCAATACCCAACTCAAAGCTTCTACAAACCTCAGAGAAAAAAATCTAGATTCTTCAGGTGCAAACCATCAGGCCCACAGCCTTCCACAGCACAACCAGCCACCTCAAAACATCAGTTTTGACGTGTTGGTCGAGGTGTCAACAGACCACTCCCCTTAACCGCTGCCGCTGACCAACCTACCCCGCCCATTTGCCATGTTCTGCAGCACCTGGGAACGTATAACATCAGATGAATGGAAATCCATTCACAATGGGTACTCCATCCAACTTTACCTCCCCTGCCCCAACACCTTTCAAGGACCCTTCTCACGAGAGTTTACTACAACGAAACAGTGCAGAAACACTAAAGCTATGGAACTGGTGCATTTCCCACAATGTCACACTATTAGTGCCTACCTTCCGGGAACACAAAACTCAATAGCAGACCATCTCAGTCGCAACTTCCACATGTTCACGAATGGTACCCAGCAGTACTTCATGACCTTTTCAAGCAGTGGGGGACACTGGCCACAGACCTGTTCACCACTTGCCTGAACAAGAAATGTCCACAATACATAGAGCAGGGATGGGGAAGCACTCCCTGGGCGATGCTGTCCTTCTGTGGGACAAGGACCTTCTGTATGCCTTTTCCCATTGGCTCTACTGTCAAAAATCCTATTAAAAATAACAAAAAGGAGCACACCTCATATTGACTGCTCCCACTTGGATGAGACGGACTTGCTACCCTTACCTGTTGCAACCGAGCCGAGGCTGGGGGCAGGGTCGGAGCAGAGCTGGGACCGGAACAGGAGTGGGTGGCACTCCCTCCCCCCGTGAGGGCTGGCTCGGGCCCCGCTGCACCCCTCCGAACATTCTTGGGGGATGTGTCCCACAGTTTGGGGACTTCCGTGCTAGTGAGAGCCAAAGATGATGGCTTTGATATCGCTGCTGCTTTCCTTGGCAGCAGTGCCTCCACTCACCTGTTTCTCCCTGCTCTTCACCCCCAACTGCCTGACCTAGGACAGTATATAGGGGCAAGGAGAGTAGCAGGTGGGGTAGTTACTGCTGAAGGCATATCTGAAGTAACTTTACCTGAACATCCCCTCCTTTTTTCGTCAAGAGGAGGATTGGGTTCTGTGTAGTAGGCTAAACCTTTTCCTTTGGAGTTTCCCCTTTTTATCTGCTGCCTGGCTGGTCAGAATGGCTTTCGTACTTCCCTTTTGCCAAGTCAAATTGCAGTCTTTTCCCCAAGCAGCGCCATTAAAAGGAGGCAGCAAAATGGGGACACAACTTAACTGTAGAAGTGCTCCAGCAATTTCATTACTGCTGAAATCTCTGCATACAGTATCTCCACCCATCATAGCTCTGAACAGCTTTCAGATTAGAAGTGCAGGATATTCTTGTAATACAGAATTTTCTGTTTACTCTGACGTAGTCCTTTCTTCTGTACTGGTAAGTAGATTACTTGGATGAACCATGTTGAACTATCCAATGTCTGTAACTTGTCAAAGCTAAAGGACCCCTGTGTCTCTGAAGTACAGTATCCAGACACTTTCTGGACATCTGAATACAAGGTTCTTTTTAACATACCGTGTTCCAACATTTTATTTTATAGTCTTTGAAGTATATAAAAGGTTTCCATGTCCACACTAGGAGCATTTTACCAGTACGGGAATATCTGTATGCAAAGCACTGTAGGTATAGTTGCAGGTATACTAGCAAAGCTGCTCTTTGTACCAATATAGCAAAACCACTCTGTATGATTGAAATAAGTCATACCAGTAAAAACACAGCTGATGTAACTATGCCTATACCTGGGACTTCTGCCTACACAGCTGTATCAGTCAGGGATCACACCTCTTCACAGCCCTGCCCGCATAGTTGTGCCAGCATAAGTCCGTAATGTAGACCTGGCCCAAGGCTATGCAATATGTGAATTAAAAAGGCAAACGAACCAATAGTCATTGGCTGACCTGTCATCACACCACATATTCCAAATATTTAAAACTATATAAGTCTCAGATACACCAAAAATTTGGGGTCTTTCTAGACAGATGATAGTGTGTTTCATGGGACATCTTCTAGCTGCCATCTTTCCCCCTCGTGTCTGTCATGTTATGTGACCTGAGGGCGCCATGGACTCTTCACTGCGTTCTGCTTAGGTAGTAGGTGGGTGGCTGGCAGCAATTGCCTGTGCTGTCTGGTGTCTGATACTGCTCTCGGTTGCATTGGTGCCCTCTCTAATTATGGGGCTGGAACACGGGGACCCTGCTTTAATTCTGTACTACCTGCCACTTACGACAGCTCTGTTATCCAGCAAAATACAGACGTGGAAATTGGTGTTAGAAGAATGGTGCATGGTGCGATGTGTCAGAGCCAAAGATGTGAACTGGGCTGGACTTCACAGGGCCAAAGATGAGAGAGAAGTAGATCTTTAGCTGAGAATATGCTGTACATCCTTCTTATTCTGGTTATTGAGGTCATCCAAAATATAGTGCTAGAATAAAGATGACTTTGCCTAGACCATTCGCAGATCACCTAAGTAGGAGAGCTAATTGTAACTCATAAGTCTATTGATAGAATACATATATATATATATATATATATATATATATATACACACACATATATTTATCGTAAGACAGTAAGCATCATAAAGAGACTACAGTGATGGCGCTTAATCAAACAAGTGAAACACCTTACTAATTAGCATTGATTCCTCAGTGCTGGAGTCATTCAAAAAAGTAGCATCAGTGGCAGAGGAGAACTTGATGAATCTATACATTTACTTGTGCCTGATAACTATTTTATTTTTGACCTGTTGAGATCTATGGTATGCTGTAGAAAATACCCTTCTTGGGATCAATTTTGTAAAATGTATATGGTCAGAAATAGTCAAATGTGACTAAAGGTACAGATTAGATTAGAGTTTGTATTTGAGGCTGAATCACAGCTTTTGTTTGGATTTTGTTCTAAAAACGTGGGAAAAAATCTAAGATTTCTGTGAAAAATAGTAGCAATCACAACATTTCCACAATCCATTACAATCTTGAGTGACTTTCTAATGTGTTTCCTATTATCTTGGGCCAAGATATCATTAGAACAGCTGTTGTCATAACACTTTGGCCATAACTAAAGTGGGGGAAAAAGCCCCTTTTGTTTTTGACTCAGAACCAAAACTTTGCGTAGATTCAGGTCCAAGGTGTGCAATCCAAACTATACCCCTCCTGAAATTTGAAGGGATTTGGATTCTTCATTCCTCTGAGGGCTGCACAAGCTTTTTCAGCATGCTTTTTTATTTATTTTAAAGAAAATGTAATAGTTGAAGATGCAGTGTCAGACTATAAGGAGTACTGGAAAATGGCTATTAATTTCTAAACATTTTAAAGATTCTAAATTATATATTTATCAGTTGGCCAATGTAGGATTTATTGTATTTTTAACTTTTCCTTGCTTTTAAGTGCTTGGGTTTTCTAAACTATGTCATAGGTAAGTATACTGTTTTAGCATCCTTAATTGTATTTAAAGGCTTTTTTTCCTAGTTTACTTGATAGCCAAACCAGTAAGAGTTAATAATTTGGGCAAAATGTTTCAGATTTCATTTTTTAAATTTGATAGAGAATATTGGTAGTTTATCTTTTAAAAAACACTCTTCACAAAGGACAATTTTCAGTCTGCATTACTGATAGTAAAATATTAATATGCACCATTTTCAGACTATTTGTAAGTAGTTTTTAAACTCTGTTTAGAAAATACTTCCAAGTCTCTGTATATTGTATTGAACATCTCAGTCCTGGTGAGTATTTGTGGCTGTCTGCTACGTTGAAACTATTTTCTAGAAAGAGGAAGGTGATCAAAAGAGTAAATTGAAGTGGATTAGGCTAAGGGATAAAGGACAGAAATCAGGGGAGGCCTGTTGCAAGGAAGGTTAGACAGAATACATTTGAACTATGAACACACTTCTACAATAAAATTTTTAACGCTGGGGTTTCTTTTAAATTGCAGCTAATGGGAAGAGCAAACCAAAGTTAAACAAGATGAGTATTTGGATTGCAAATTCAGTAACCATGGAGATTGGATGGCTGGAATATGCTAAACCACTTTGAAATGTTGTTTTGAACACTTCAGAGTTTCAGACTGTGAAATAGTTCTAATGTGTAGTATTTTCTCATTTGAAATAGTGTTAAATATACATACATCCTTTTCTAAAGAAACAGAAACTTGTCAGGAATGAATGCCAAAGCTATAACCATTACCAAATTCTATTTCCCCTAACTTGGACTTGCTACATTTTATGTGGGTCACTCAGTAGCTAATGTTATCATAAGATTTCACTGTAAGTAACATGAGCCACATACTTCTTATATAGCACGATCTAACAGGGATTATCTTTAATTTATTTCAGGAGTCATAGGTATGCCGGCTACTGTGAAGTGTTATCCCTAAAATGCGTTCAAGCTAGGCTTAATTGGAGCTTCAGCTGAATATACTGATTGGCGTTACTAATGTAATTTGAAGATAATTGGTGTCAATTCTTTCTTCTAGAACAACAACAACCTTGAAGCATGTTGTCGAGTCCTTGCGCAGGAGAGCAGCAAATACTTATATATGGAGTACCATAGCCCTGATGACAGCAGAATGAACAGGAATCGCCTTTTGCACATTAACCTGGGTATTCATCCCCATACCAGCTACCATGCAGGGGAAGGAGCTCAACTTAACGGTGGTCGTACACTGGTACATAGCTCAAGCGATGGACATATTGAGCCACAATGCGCAGCAGGTAAACAGCTGATATGCTTAGTTCAAGAACCACACTCTGCTCCAGCTGTTGTGGCAGCTTCTTCTAATTACAATCCATTTTTCATGAATGACCAGAATAGAAATGCAGCTACTCCTCCTCCGCAACCAGCTCAACAGCCATCTTCCATGCCACCAGGAATGAACACATCTGCTATGCAAGGCCCTCATCCTCCTACATATATGCACATACCTCGGTACAGTACAAATCCTATTACTGTTACATTATCGCAAAACCTCCCCTCTGGACAAACAGTACCCAGAGCTTTACAAATTCTTCCACAGATTCCAAGCAATCTTTATGGGACTCCTGGTTCTATATATATTAGGCAGACGTCTCAAAGTTCTTCAGGACGACAGACTCCTCAGAATGCACAGTGGCACTCTTCTCCACAAGGCCCAATTCCACATTATACTCCACGCCCGCTACCTGTTTATCCACATCAACAGAACTACCAACCTTCACAGTATTCTCCTAAACAGCCCCAGATCCCTCAGCCAGCTTATCAATCACCACCTGCATCTCAGTGTCCTTCTCCTTTTGGCTCTCCTCAGCATCAGGTACAGCCTACCCAATTAGGTCATCAGAGTTCACATGTGTTTATGCCTCCTAGTCCTTCAACTCTTCCACCCCATCCATATCAACAAGCGCCCCAAAGTTATCAAAAACAGGGTGGTCACTCAGTATCTTATCTCCCTTATGGACCTAGCTTATCCAAAGGTTCTATGAACAAGATAGAAATTACAGTTGAGCCACCACAAAGACCTGGGACTGCAATGAATAGAAGTCCTTCACCAATAAATAATCAGCCATCTCAACGAAACCAGCACCCGCTGTATGCAGCCACTACTCCATCTTCAGGCTCTCCTTCAAGAGGTATGTCAGGTCAACCAAAACCACCATTTAATGTTAATCCATTATATATTACCTACACACAACCAACTGGACCTACAGGTGCACTAACACAGTCTCCCCGGGTAATGGTATCTCAGCCAAACTCAACAGTATTTAAAATCACAGTAGGTCGAGCGCAGACTGAGAATCTTTTAAATTTAGTGGACCAAGAGGAGCGTTCTGCAGCACCAGAACCTATTCAGCCCATTTCAGTAATACCAGGATCTGGAGGAGAAAAAGGAATCCATAAATACCAGAGGAGTTCCAGTTCTGGATCAGATGACTACGCTTATACTCAAGGTAAATTTCTTGAACTGTCAACTGTTATTTTAAAAAATTAAATTAAATTAAATTGAACCTATTCAGAAGAACATGATGACTTTTGGCCTGTGTGATCTGAGATATTTTTATGCACTAGAAGTTTTTAAAATGTAACATGGAAAATATGAATTGATGAGAATTGTTGTCAAATTCTAATGATTTATTATAAATGGCCATACAAATCATCTTGTCCCATAAGAGAACAAGATGACATTTGAAGAAACTGAGAAGTTGTGTATTTTAAAACTAACAAAGGCAAATGCTTTTCTGTATAGTTCATTTACCAAGTTGTTTTGAAGTTTTGACACAAATATTTAAATACAGATTAGATAATTTTCATAGACTCATAGAAATGTGGAGCTGGAAGGGACCTCAAGAGGCCATCAAGTCCAGCACCCTGCACTGAGGCAGGACCAAGAAACGTAGATTATCCCTGACAGGTGTTTGTCAACCTGTTCTTAAAAACCTCCACTGATGGGGATTCCACAGCCTCCCTTGGAAGCCAGAGTTTAAATACCCTTATAGTTAGAAGTTTTTCTTAGTATCTAACCTAAATCTCCCTTGCTGCAGATTAAGCCCATTACTTCTTGTCCTTTGAATAAAATACATTTGAATACATTATAACAGATATATTTATTTGTTTAATAAACAAAATTATTTTAGTTGCTACACAAAACCAAAAACATTGTACCAAGACAAAACCAAATAAGCCAGCCAAGGTAATAAACAAAAATAAGGAAAGAGAGCGGTCAGGGGATAAAATATTAAGGTTGCACAGTAAGGCGAATCCACATCTTGATTAAAGGTAGAATAATTCAGTTATTTTAAGCTTTTAAAAATGTTAATTTATCATAACTGACATGGCAGAAATGGTTTTTAGGCAGGATTTGGATGCAAAGAAGACGGTTGTTTGGTGGTTTGTTTTTATATGGATAGGGGCAGCAAATACTTTGAGAGCCCTAATATCAAATACCAAGTAATTACAACTTAAGTAAAAGAGAATTGGGTGAAAACTTTACCCAAACATTTGAGCAGAAAAGTGCTTTCTTCAGAGCTGCATTTTTTGAAACCTGGTTGATATACTTGAACTCACTTGCACAGAGAAAGTTTAGTCTGCAAACATTCAAGCCAGTCAGCTATAATTGTCATAATGCTAATTAGCAGCAATTATTCAAAGCATCTACTTCATACTTAGATTTCTAATGAGATGAGATTATCTGCCTTTCCTCTATCCTCCTCCTATCCTTTCTTTTCTCTTCATTTTATTCCTATTTCACATTATTTCACCTCTCAAACTCTGCCCTGCAGTATTTGGGCCCTCATTTCCCCTGTCGCCTCAGAGCTATCTTTAACCTCTTAACATGAAATTGCTCTGTACCAGATTGTTTCTGTGCACACAGCATCCCCTGCTGATTCCTGGACTGAAAGCAGGCAGGAATAAACTTTGTGAATGGTAGAGAACAGTAGGAGTGAGGTGGAGCCAGTTAGTATTTACTCTAGGCAGCGTTGCCAACCTGGCCCTACCTGCCGGGGCCATACGCTCTCTCGTGGCGTGCCCTTTAGCAGTTCCAAACAACCTTGAATAACTGGCAGAGTAACCACTGTTCCACAGATTAACTCAATTGTGTAGGAAAAATATAACTGATTTCATGTGAGTAAGACAAAAAATGGGTTCTGGATTGCAGAATTACTTGCTAAGTAAGGTTTTATTTGCTGCTCAATTTTTTTGCACCCTGTTTTTTTCCCCTAGATACTATTTTCTTTTTTCTTTGGTAGTTCGTTTCCTTCATTTGGACAGTTGAGTTTCTTAGGTTTGTATGGTCGTTGGGGCAGAGAACTGTATCTTCCTATATGTTGGGGCTTCAATAGTGGCTTTATGTGCTACTGCAGTATAAATATCAACAGCAATAATATTTAGCCCCTGCAAACTTACATTACACACTTATGTAGCACAACTGAGATTTAAAGAGGAATATACTTAAAATCTTCTGATTTTGCTAATTTAGGAAACAAATTAATTTGTATGACTTTTCTATAAGTCTCTACCATGGTGAAAAAGTTCCAGAAATATATAAATCACTACTGATTTTTTTCTTTAGTGTGATATATTATATTGCATGATGATATAGCCTAATAAGATGCAGCACATGTGGGAGGGCATTGTATATGTCAGGTATAAACTGGATGATGAATGAGCATATAAAGCCAGAAATTGGTGAGCCATGTATCATTACTGTTGTGAATTTTTTTAAATACATACTGTAATTATGATCTTTCAAACTCTTCTCTTGACTGAGACATATTGTTTTTATGAAAGGTTGTTGCTGGTTTTGTTGCTTTAATGTTATTTAATAAGATATCCTGTTTTCAATCCCTGTGTTGCTACTGGCTTCTGACATGCGAGGGTCCATACAAAATCCAAGTTTAGCATTTCTGCTTCAGGTAGAAAAGTGGCAGCCAACAAAAATAACATATTTTTATGCTCCTGGCTCTTCCTCTCTGTTTTTTCTCCTGCTTCTGTAGGATCTGTCATGTCTGCTCTTAGCTCCATCTGTGGAGTTTTGTCCTTTCTTTCAATTAGTATATAATTGTATTTTTCATACAGTGTTTTGTTTAACATTTTTAATTACTGTTTGCATTGAATGGAGGTCAGGAAGGGGAGAGACTGCAGGTGCTTTGCATGTAATAGCACTTTACAGGCTTCTGTAGTGTGTCCTTGTACATCCTTTTTTCTGTTTATTTCACAGTAGAAACATAGGAATAACCTGCTGGCAAACCCATTACTTAGACAGTCTACCCATCTGAATACCAGCAGTAAATCTCTTCCCTTTGCCCTCCCCGCTCAATTGCCCTTGTCAAGAAGGATCTTTCCTCTTCATTTGAGCATCAGTGAAAACAAGTAGATCAGAAAGTGCGAAACCTCAGACCAGTGACCTGTATTAACTACTCCTGTTTGACATTAAAGTAAAAATATTGAGGAAAATCCTGTCTAGTCTCTGTCAGAGAAGATTGAATATTTATTCCTAGCTAGTTGGATTATCTTTACCTGCTCACCAGCTGCCTCAGGAACCCATGACAGCAAAAGTCTTGTTAACTTGAGACTGACCATGACAAATTTCATTCCAAAGGCATAAGTTTTTGAGGAAGTTATTAACGACTGAAAGAGGTTTAGAAGGAATGGCTCAACTTTAACTATAGAATTAAAGGTCCTGAAGGTCTTTTCGTGAGGATTCTTGTAACTAATTTATGTCTATCTTCCTTTAATAAGGGATTCTCCTTGCTTGCTAGTTTTGCCTGTGAGCATTGGTAAATTTATAATACTGGATATTAAACCTTCTACTGTTCCAAAGGGCAACAGCAATTTTTAAAAACTTTGTTGTATAGTCTCTAATAGAACTGCAAAAATCAATACAGGTTTGGCTCTTGACTAATACGTGAGGCCTTCTGAGAAATCAGATGACACTATTACACAGCAGCTGTGAAGTCATGTTCTGGTGCAGTCTTTCAGACTCTAATTCTTGCCTCTGGTATTTATTCTTGACAGTGCAGTAGTAGTATAATTAGGTTGCTATTTCATCCTGAGAAGCTCTCTCCTTGTACAGGTGCCTTTGTATTTTTGAGTGGAGAAAGACCAAATACAAAAAAAGAAGCAGTGACCAAAATGGTAATATGAACTTCAAATTACTGTCTAAAACATTATTTTTATTCTGGAAGAATTTACTGTCCTAAACTATAATTCAGTTGGCATGAAACATCTTTACACTGATATGTGGCTGCATGTTTATGCTCACCTATTATTTTGGAAAGGTCACTTGTGTATATTACACATAAATTAAGAGTTCCGTTTTTTAATTAAGTGCTTTATATTGACTGTTTATTCCCTATACTACTCTAGCCTTGCTATTACATCAGCGAGCAAGGATGGAGAGGTTAGCAAAAGAACTGAAGCTTGAGAAAGAGGAACTTGAGCGGCTGAAAACTGAAGTTAATAGCATGGAGCACAATCTTATGCAGAGGCGACTTAGAAGAGTAAACTGTACAACCTCAATCCCAACAGTAAGAAATTTGTATTTGTAAACATCAGGTTTTTTTGAAGCTCCCTTGTTCAATTATTGTTCATGCAAGCAGCTTACAAAGTACAGTGTGTAATAAGATATTTTGGAGATTAAACTCTTTGAATTGGCAAGTGATTTTTGCTCTTTGCTTTGTGGTTTGTCTGCAAGATCAGTTCTTCCTTTGAAATAAACAGATATTTGGTACTTTAAGAAACACATATGGGCTACACTTTCAGAAACTTTGTTGTGCACACAGTGAAACCTATATGTGTTTACTTTTCTGTATCCCAGAATGATGACTCCTTTCAAATATACTGTGAGTGCCCAGGAGAAGATTAATGAGGAAGTCTAGATTTTATACCTAAGATTTGGCATGCACAGTTTGGTTATGTATGTAGGACAGATTTTTGAAAAGGAGCTTCAGTATGCCAGGCTACTGTCACTGCTTGGAATATATCTGTACCTCTTAGACCTCCCCCTTTTTACCCTCTGGTGTGGAAGCTCTGAGGGCACTTAGGGCTTCACTTGGCTGGTCACACCCGGGTAGTCTCAAGTGTGTTAAATGGGAGTTACTCTCCTCAGTTTAGCTGTACTCATTGTTAATCCCTGCTGTTAGTAATGAGTAGTTTTTCTGGTATAGACAGGTCCATATGTATCATGACACCTACTTTCAGTAATATATGCAAATGTCAGGAATGGATCAGTTGATCCCTTACTTCCCACTATCCATTCTATGCAGCATTGTACAGTTGAGAAATGTTGGGCTAAAAGTTTTGGTGTAATGCATTTCATCTTTAGGTGGGAGGGAAATGTAACTCCTGATTTGCAGCTGCTAATATTAACATAAACTAGAGGTCAGATGCTGCTTTCAGTTTATAAGGATAAAAATCTGGAGTAACTATTGCCCAGGGTTTTTGGAACCCAAAGCAGTGGTAACTTTACTGTATCTTTTTTTAGGTGGTATTAGGAATAAATTAATGGGGGTTTATCTTATTTGTTTGATAAATGATTGATGCAAGCAAGAGTGCTTTTATTTAAAACTATTTTTATTAGATTTTAAGTTCAGATACATACCTATGCTGTTGCAGTAGGTTTAGAGGATTTAAAAACATTTATATTTACCTGAAGTTACGAAATGGTTTTAAAGGATTAGCTTTAGGAGGTCCCCTCTTTTGTTTGACTGCCGGAGATGCCAGATTCTTGCGCAAAGAAAACTTCTTTGGACTGCTCCAAAGCAAATTTTTTTACCTAATTTTTTATAGCCAACTTTAAACAAAACACAAGTTTATAGTGACTTCAGTGGGTCACCATAACAACCCCTAATTTTAGCAAACCTTACTTTTTATTAAAAAAACATTTTTAGTTATAACAATAAAATGTACATGTCAAAAGTGTTAGAGGCTCTTAAGACCAAGGATGGCTGTCCAAATAATACATTTATTATTTATTTTATATTTATTATTTTGATAGCAAAACTGCAAACATGCAGTTATTTGACCTTGCTTCTTAGGGCCTAAGATTTTCCTAACTATGTGATGGTTTTCAGCTGGCAGTGGCTGAACATACAAAATTGCTGACTGCAGTACTGTCAAATTCTGGGGTACATACAGGAATGTCAAATTCTGGGGTAACATCTACACTGATTTTTCAGGAGTTAGACCAGTTCAACTGACAACAAAATTTGGTCATTGACTTTTCAAAGTTTCTCAAGGCAATATGCATCTGGTCTAAGGGTATAGGAGTACTGTAACTGCCATCATAGGTTTTGTAACTTGATAATTTTAAAAGCCGAGCTCAATTTTCTTCCTGGTAAGTATTAAAACTAATGTGTATACGTTTATTTATCGCCAAAATGCCTAATGAATAACTCATTTTAAAAATATCTTTAAACATTTCCCTTGAAATCATGTTGACATTCGCTATGGATATTTTTTTCGCTGCACTTACCCATCATTGGCAACCCTACCCCCGGTAACATTATTAATAGGACCTGTTAACATATGAGACAAATAACATTGTTATATCTACATTAGAGTTGATGCTGACTTTCCTACAATTGCTATTTTGGGTCCTTTCTTACTAGCCTGAGGAAATGACCAGATTGAGAAGCCTGAATAGACAGCTCCAGATAAATGTTGACTGTACTCTGAAAGAAGTTGACCTCCTTCAATCTAGAGGTATAGACTTGATTGTTTTTGTAACACATAAGTTTTAATGTGGTATGTGTTTAAATATGAGTAGATCTTTGGCTTTTTCTTTTCCTTTTTTATCAAAGCTGGGTTTTACTGATATCAAGTCATTACTTCAGAATGAAAGACACAACCTGTCTTTTTTTCTTTGTCTGTTTTAAGCTGGTTGGATAGTGTGGTTTTTGTTAATAACATTCTCAATAAAAGTGGGCCCAAATTAAATTAAGTAATTACTTGTAAATAGCAATTTGAAAGGACTTTGTCAAGATAGTTGAATCTAAAAATGGGCATACCTCGATAATGGTTCCATACTCAAGTTCTTGAGTTCATGATATATTCATTGTTGCTGCAAACATATCTCTTTTCTGTGACTCATTGTGACACTAAATAAAGTGTAGTAAATAAATTGCTACGTGTGCTCTTGCTGTGTCATATCTGCCACTTTCAGACTGAGAACACACTTGCCATATCTGTATTTTGAAGACACATGGACCAGCCTTACAAGATAAAAAGACCATAGTGATTATAGTCTAAAAAGTCTGGTATAAATCTTGTCTCATTTCTAGGCTAGGACAAGAAAGAAGAAAGTAATACCAACTAAACAATTTATCTTAACACGTTCCTTTGCTTGGCAAACTATTGACGTTAGAGAAAAAGAATGGAAAAGGAGGTATATAAGAATTAAAAGAACTAGCACCAAGGACCCTGAAAGTGATGCAACTCAACATGGTTTAAAACCAAGAATCCAGCAAATACAAATAATTCTAATTAAAAGATGCTTTCAAAAACTCCTAAGGAAATTTGTGGTAAATGTATTACAAAAACAGTTAAATTGTAAATCTCTGGGGCCTTCACCCTAGAAGCTCTGTCCTGAAAAAAAAATTGCATTTTCAGTTATCTATGAAGCAATCCAACACACTGAAATAGACTTTGCTGTCCAAATAGAAGTTGCCCTATGAAAGCAAAGCAAAACCGGAGATATGCAGGGAAAACCTCTGATCCAGTAAAAGGTTGAAATAGAACATAACATGAAATAAACATAGAGAGGAAAGCTTTCAGATGACTAGAACAAAACACTTGTGTCCTGAGCAAATAAACTACCTCTCAAATGTAAACACTGGTAACAATACCCGAATGACTTAGCATCAGTCCATTTAAAAGAAATAGTCATATCTGAGTCATGTTCTAAGAGCTTGATCCTGCAAGTTGCTGAGTAGTTTCTGGATTGCTGCGTTCCTTCTTAGGGACCTGAAGGTGCTCAACTCATAGTAGGAGGTTTTACCCAACACCACTGACATTCATCCAGCCCATCTGCCAGAGATGAAATTTTGGGAAGGATATTAGGAGATCCAGTGGCAATTTTTACAGAAAATGCCATGAGATCCTGAATGTCCATGCAGAGCAAACAGAATCTTATCTCCCCCACCCCTTTTTTTTAAAAAACATTTATCTAGATGTTTCAAACCTGATCCATAGAAACATGCAAAAAAAGACACTAGAAGAATATGGAATGAGAATGTCCTCTAGCAAAGGATACAACTTGCAAAACATTCAGAGCAAACTGAAAAACAGATTCCCACAGTATACAGACAACTCATTCTCTGTGGGGACTGTGATCCCATTTTATAAATGAGCATATTTAAAATAAATTACGTATCAGAACGCCGACACTGAAATGGGATTGACAGGTGTCAAATTCACAATTAGGCATATATACAATCAGTGCTAACCACAAAATTAAACCTGTGTGCCAGGTCCAGCTGAGAATATAGGAAATGTGAAAGACCAGTGAAACTGCACAGGATAAATGAAAATGAAGAACAGAAACACCATGGGATTCATACCCAGAAGGGTATGGACAGAGAGAACTGTTCAGAAATGAGTGCTAATCTTCACTTAAATCCAAACTGATTTTCATCTGCTTTTCTAACCAACAATCTGGAAGCAGCTCCTATTTACAATCCTTTCTCTCCTGCATCTGCAGCTACAGTAGGTTTGCGCTACATTCCTCTACCAATTTATTAAGAGCTCCACCTTTTGAAATGAGACAAAGCAGAGGAAGAGAGACAATGTAACTAATCTTGAGCAAGTAAACTGAAAATTTAGGAGACCACCTGAAAATACCAGAGGAAAAATTAAAACACTACAGAGGAGAGATCTTAAAAAAAGTTAATGTTAGAACTTTAGTATGGCACCCCTAACAAAACAGTACCATTTTTAGGCCCAGTTATTTTGATTCCATTTCCATATGGTCAAGGGGATCTCAATTTAGGTGTATAGTTCCTTAAACAATTGGCATCCTCATAGGAAATAAGATAGATGGCGTGAAACATTATTTCCTTTTTCTCTTAGACATTATTTGGCTTATTTAAACCTTTTTTAGTTATCACTGCTGTCTGTGGAATACTGCAGTTTTTATTGATAAACTTAGTTCTGAAGAGTGGCAGAATTTCAGAGAGATGTGGTAAGTCTGCTACAATTTCTTCAGTGTAGTAGTATGCCTGCAAAGTAAATGCTGCAATGGGATAATATGATATGAGTCAGAAAGATATGGAAGATGTAATAAGCTGTAAACTTGCATCATATAAAAAGGTACTATTTGTACATATACTCTCTAATATCCTTTCTTGGTATTGTTTATATTTATATCCCTCTTACCAGGTAACTTTGATCCGAAAGCCATGAGCAACTTTTATGATAATATAGAGCCTGGTCCTGTTGTGCCACCAAAGCCAAGTAAAAAAGGTGAGTTGCTAAATAAGGGCCAAGAAAACCATTCATATATCTGACTGTTATTTAGTAGTTCTCATACTGAGAAGGAGATTTTCCATGTGTTACAGTAAGTGTTAACGCAGTTCTTTTTATACTATAAGTAGTAGCAGGAAACATTTTACTTGTTATTTTATATATTTTTACAAGCTGTGCAGCTAAGACACTTAAACAGATTTATGTTGATACAGCAACAATAACACTGGCACTAAAAGCTATTTTCTATCAATGTGTTTAAAATTAATATTCTGATCATATGTTTATGCATAATTCTGCTCACTAATAGAAAGTACATACGCTTTTACAGTTGATTTTAGATTAACTTGAACTTCCAATTAACACATTTTTTAAAATAAATAATTTTGGTTAAATCCTATTTAGGTTAGGACACCTCAGTCTTCCAGTAACATTAATTATTGGGATTTTTATAAACATAACTGCAGTGATAGCCATACATAAATTAAATCAGTTATACAAATTCATAATTTGAATTGGTATTTTGTTTTTCCCATTAACATTGTCTGCTCGATGGTCACCGTTTTGACCAGAATTACAGAGAGTAAATTTCATAGTATTAATAATATTTCAGAGCAGTAGGAGTCCCATAGGTGCTGTATTCCATATGTTGCAGGCTGTTCCCCCAAAATCGAAAACTTTGCAATTCTTCTTCGAGTGCTTGCTCATATCCATTCCAGTTAGGTGTGCGCGCGCCGCGTGCACGATCGTCGGAAGATTTTTACCCTAGCAACCCCCGGTGGGTCGGCTGTGGGGCCCCCTGGAGTGGCGCCTTCATGGCGCTGGATATATACCCCAGCCGACCCAGCGCCCCCTCAGTTCCTTCTTACCGCCCCTGACGGTCGTTGGAACAGTGAAGCACGGCATAGCTGCTCTTCACTATCCCTAGCTTCTCATTGTTATTAGTATAGATAGTTGTATATATAGTTATTAAAGTTCTTAGATAGTTAGTTGTGTATTTTTAGCATAGTTGTAAATTGTTAGCGGGGGTTTAGGGGGTTGTCTCCCCCTCTTTTTCCCCCCGGCGCACAGCCGGGCCCATGCCCAAGGCTCCTGGCTTTAAGCCGTGCGCGTCCTGCGGGAAGCCTATGCCAACGGGCGACCCGCATAGCTCCTGCTTGAAGTGCCTGGGGGAGGCCCATCCAGCAGATAAGTGCCCGATCTGCAAGGCCTTCAAGCCGAGGACAAGGAAGGAGCGGGACTTCAGGCTTCGACAGCTCCTGATGGAGGCGACGCTGAGCCCGGATCCTCCCTCGGCGCGCCCAGCCCCGGCACCGAGCGCCTCGGTGCGCAGCGCCCTGGCGGCTCTGACCGGTGCGGCGGACAAGCCACCTCGGCACCGACCGACGTCGGCACCGCGCCCGCCTCAGGGGTCTCGGCGCCGATCCCTCTCTCCGGGCCATAAGAAAGCCCGCAAGGCCCAGGACACGGCCGCACTGAAGACGCCGGCTCCCCCAGTGCCGGGGGTAGAGCCGCGTCCGCCGTTGGACCGCCAAAAACAGGCGGCCCCACCGTTGACTCCGGCACCGAGGCCGTCGAGTCCGGTGCGGACTGTTTCACCACCTAGGCTGGTGGTGGAACCTTGTCTCCCGTCCACCCCGGAGACATTCGCAACGGCACGAGACTTGATCGCCTTCACGGAGCCGGGGCCGTCACACCTTCCGGCACCAGTTGCTCCGCGCCAGGTGCAGTCCAGGGGCAAGCCTGCCATGCTGCACCCGCCGTCTCCAGCTCCGGACTCGCGGCACTGTTCCAGGTCCCGGAGCAGGTCCCGACGCCGCTCGGAGTCCCGGCGCCGAATATCACCTCGGCACCGGTCGTACTCGCGGCAGAGATCACCTTCGCGACGCCGTTCCACATCCCGGCACCGTCGCGACGACCGGCACCGATCGGGCTCGAGCCGGAGCTCCCTGCACCGGTACGAGCGCCGCTCGGGCTCGAGGGGCCACTCCCGGTACCGGGTCTCGTCAAGGTCTTCGTCCCGCTCCAGATCGGGATCTCGGCACCGGCGAGACTACCGGCACCGATCCCGATCCAGATCTCTGCACCGTTCCCCGGCACCGCGCAGGGACAGATCGCCCTACGACCAGCACCGATCGGCACCGTACCATCCGGTGCCGGCGACAGTGCGCTCGGCACTGCCGTGGCCATCTCGGTCGGCGTCCCGTTCATCGGACGCGGAGGCCATCCATTTGCAGGAGACGGCCGAGGACCCTACGCAGGGACCTGCGCATTGGTCCTTCTGGACACCATGGGCCTACCACCAGGCGCAAGGGGCCCCACCATCTGCGTCCCGCTCGGCACGCTCCGAGCCCAGGGTCCCGGAGGCTACCATCTCCCGCCCTCCGCCAGGTGGCATGGAGGCGCCAGTGCCCACACCGGCGGAGGCCCGGGACCCAGGGGCAGGTGATGTCCACCTCCAGGAGCACCTGGAACAGGAACCGCCCTTGGACCCCTTGCCACCGGGGGGATCCTCCTCCTCCTCCCCCGATGAGGCTGTAGCGGGTACATCCGCCATGGGTCCGCCTCCTATCGACCTTCGGGCGCACCAGGACCTGTTGCGCCGGGTGGCACGCAATATGGACCTCCAAGTGGAGGAGATTGTGGAGGTTCATGACCCTATTGTTAACATTCTTTCAGCGGATACCCCCTCTCGGGTGGCGTTACCGCTGATCCCCACCATACAGGCCAATGCCACCACCATCTGGCAAACCCCGGCCTCGATTCCACCCACGGCCAGAGGGGTGGAGCGGAAGTACTTTGTGCCTTCAAAGGACCATGAGTACTTATATACCCATCCCCAGCCGTGCTCACTGGTGGTCTCATCGGTTAATGCACGGGAGCGCCATGGCCAGCAGGCCGCTGCGCCCAAATCGAAGGACGCTAAGCGCTTCGATTTGTTCGGACGCAAGGTCTACTCTGCGGGAGGGCTCCAGCTCCGAGCGGCCAATCAGCAGGCGCTCCTGAGCCGTTACAGTTTTAATTCATGGTCCTCAATGGGGAAATTCAAGGAGCTGGTTCCCCAGGAATCGAGGGAAGAGTTTGGGGCTTTGGTAGAGGAGGGTATGCGGGTGGCACGTACCTCCTTGCAAGCCTCCCTCGATATTGCGGACTCGGCCGCTAGGACCCTGGCTTCGGGGATAGCCATGCGGCGACTCTCCTGGCTCCAGGTGTCAGGCTTGCCACCAGAGCTGCAGCAGACCCTGCAAGATCTGCCATTCGAGGGCCAGGGCCTCTTTTCGGACAAAACTGACGCGAGACTCCAGAATCTGAAGGACTCACGTACAATGATGCGCTCCCTGGGGATGCATGTCCCGGGGCCTCAGCGCAGACCCTTCAGACCGCAGCCGCAGAGATTCTACCCTCCCCCGCCGCGTCCAAGACAGGACTTTGCCAGGAGGCGGGGTCGAGGCGGCAGGCGGAGGTCGACCGGCCCTCAACCTGGTCAGAACCAGGGCCAGCCTAGGCCACCTTCAGGGCCTAGGCAAACCTTTTGAAGGTGTGGTCGAGGACGGCACCACGACCGGTACTCAGGATCCAACTTCCCCCCTTCCGGGATCGCCTCTCCCGTTTCCACCGCGCTTGGTCCCTTATAACCTCGGACCGCTGGGTCCTTCGCATGGTGGAGAGGGGATACGCCCTCCAGTTTTCCTCGGCCCCCCCCCCC